GATATTGAATGCAAGAGAGCACCAGAGATCAATAATATAGATTTTTTATAAATGATAAATTGCGATCACAATTAATACACGTTAATTTGTAAATGTAATTTTCTGGCCACCTCCTCTTGGTAGATAGTAATACAGAACGGGAAAACTTATAAACATGCATAGAAAAAGCAACAATAAAATCATCATTAAAAAATGTAAGTCACATACAAAAGGTTGAATATCAGAATTAATCAATTCACAACAAACCATAAAAAGTAAACAAGAAGCATTTTTCATGACAGGCAGAAAAAATTAAGTAAAAAAAATATCAGGAAAAGAGAAATGTGCAACTAAAATCGCAAGAGAGGTGCATAAAATATTTCTTGAGAAAATTGAGTCATATAGACCAAGATGTTCATCGAGGCAAAATTAACATATAACGTATTAAAGAACTTGCAGACTGTACAGAAAATTGGTTTGGTGAGGTCAGGTGTTGTAGTGAACTAAGTGAATACTTTTATGAAAACTGGATTATTTGGAATCGCATATTTTCCTTGTTTCGTTACTTTATAACGTCTCCATATACGCTAAAATGTATTCGATGAGTATCTTATTCGGTTAATTACTGTTGTATTTTAAGTGTTTATTGCTTTTAATAGTTACATATTAATTGTTATATTTCGGGAACTTCTATTTGAAACACATAAATCAGACATCATTGTAACCTAAATAATTGTCAACGCGCAGCAAACAGGAAAATTAGTTCAGTCTTATCGCGTGCAGCATTTCGCCACCCAACACGCAATATCTCACCGGTACTTTTAAAACCTGCGACAAAGCTATCTAGCAAACACAAAAGACAGCGGTAGGGCCAGACATAGGAACGCTCATAGCCACCTACGCATGCAACAGAGTGAGGTTCCGTTTTCGTAATTTGTAAACATCAACGCATCGCTCATCAAGCATTTCATCAGCACACAAGAAAAGGGACATCTTAAAATTATCCCTTTGTGCAGATTTGTTTTCTTTTTGTTTCTTGAATCTAAGAAACTGCCGTAGAAAATGTATAACCTGAAGTCAGGTGCGAACGAGAACAAACAAAATAAACACTTGTTTGTCACTTACATTCACGCCAATATTATTCTCTGTGCCGTTGATATATAGAATATTATTGTCCATATAAAATGACTTGGTACGATTTGACCCCACGATTATAACCGTCCCCACTGAAGTTAGTCCCAAACTGCCAGGTGCTAAAGCACACTTTCGCCTTTGCACAGCGACAAATCGATCTATTTCGGTCGGTGAACAGGAAAGTGTCTTTCCGAAACTACTTCGAACTATTTTTTGAATAATATTTTTTAACCATTAGTAGTAAATATATTAAGATTTTCTACAGATGCTTCTTCACGTATAATTAAAATAAGAAAGAATTTTCTAGAGTTCACTTTAATTCATTATTACTTCCACTTTATAATGCATTCGATTTTCTAGAGCTGTCATAGAACCATCAATCGCACTCATGGTATAACAATTATCAATCGAGCATATCGGGTCCATTTGTATAAATCCATTCGATGAAAGAAATTAATTCGCAGAGTATTTAATTGTAGGATCTGTGTGTGTTGTTCACGTTTCGTTCACGGTAATTAGGAGACATTTTAATCATAGCTTAGATAAAACGTTAAAAGGCAAACCGCGTGACCACAATTTTTGCCGCCTACTTCTAGGAAGTAGTTCGAGCTGCATGAAGGACGCGGGCTGGAACAATGGCTGACACTCGGCGTGCGGGCGAATCTTACGCAATACAGGTGTGCTAGTAACGAGCATTGTGTTGTGACTGCGACATGGGCGCGTCGTGCCCTTCGATGGATGACGGAGAAGCTTTTCCCGCAAAAGAAAAACAAGAGAAAGAAAAACGGCCAGACGAATCACGGACTGCCGCTGGTAACTCGAAGATTCTGCTATGCCGGCGTCGGTCACGAAAGAGGAAGATTATACATTAAAGCTTCTTGCGCGCTAAGTACACCCACAGTGACGAACTTGAATAAGTAGGGATTTACAGAGAACTCAATGCATGGATTTATATCAACCAACGCGCGGTAGATAGGGTAAGTAAAATGCGTTACGGTGTCGAGGAGTACAGGTGATAAACAGACTGCCGAAGGAAAGCAAGGCGTGTTAAGAGTCGAGGTGTGTAGTTTGTAGTTCCTCTGCGTCAGCCTTAAATTTCAATACCATCTAACCTAACTTCACGACGCCTCGGTTGACGCTTCGCTAGGCATTTCCGAATTGGCGACCAGGTTCCGGCTTTAGGCCCTCGCGAATTACCAAACAGGCTTGAGCCTGTGCGACGCATAATGTATTAGCAAATGTAAATGCATTTTGACAGTTTATACCAAAATACTTCTTACGATCTCACAAGATGCCTAACATTCGAAAAATAACCTAACATCAGCCCGCATCCTGGTGCTGATACCAACATTAGCCGGATAAAATCCGAATTCATCGTCATTTTTACAGCTTCATGCACCCCATTTTGCAAATGTGTAATGGGCACGAGAAACGTTAGCTATATTTAGGTTTTTGTCCATAACATAATATCAAATTAACTCTTAAGTACCTTGAGTAAAAACTTCTTGGTAAGTATGTGTAGTAATTTTTTACAACTGTTACTTTTTTGCCATTGAGAATAGTCTTTTGTTTCTCGGTTACTTTTTTATATATTAATGTTTTCCAGTGATTTTTGAATACTAACAGATTATGTTGTAGATAGATGTTTGTAATAATTTCTGCTGAACGAAAAAGAGTATCACCGCGATAATGTTTATGTTCTGTATTCAAGTCCTCAAAAAACCTTTGTATCCCATAATACATGAAAAAGGAAATCTTATAATCGAGTCCCAACGAAGGAGAATTCGACGAATGGCACTTGCCATTGTATTCTGGGAAGGTGGGGGAAGTTAAACTGAAGGTTGGTTACTGGACTCGCCCCGCGCCTTCCTCCAGGAGGTGCCAAATAGTGGACGAGGGCGCAATTAGCACATGTTATTATCTTCTTTAGTAGGATCTAATATCACGTGTGCTGGGACCGCAGCCAGCAACGAAGTTGTAATTTGGTGTGAGTGATAATCACACGTTTTTCGTGAGACGTTTTGTAACTCTGTCAGTCGTTTTAACTTGGCCTTTGTGCTCTGTGCATCTCCGAGGCGATCCGAGTTGAAAGGTGAGAAGAAATATTGTATTATTTTATGGCAATAATCTCGTACAGATTAGTAGTTGTGAAATTTGTACCCGATATAACTCTGCATTTCATTACAAGAAAAAGAATGAATTAAGTGGATCAAACATGACAGAATTCTAGAATTCATATTATAATTCTTAAATGTTGTGAACAAAGATTCTAATAAATAAAGAACTAATATGTTGTCCAGCTATTCTATATATCGTGTGATTATGGGTTTGTAATGTTTGTATTTAATAAATACCACTTCTGAAATTAAAAAAAAATACTGAAGAGACATTGAGAAATGTAAGGGTGACTTGCTAGTAGTTTGTGATCATGTACGAAAAATAGATTGTCATAAATTAAAAGGAGATGGGTAAAACATCTCTGACTTTTGCTTGTTATATGGTTAAATATGCACCATGCTAAAGGATTACCTTTAATTAAAGCTAAAATGCATTGTTAACATAGAAGCAAATTTTGATGAATACCATTACAGTTTCGACATTGATAAATGGGTTGTTGGCCGTATATTTAGAAATAAGATAACTTTTCTGTATTATATGCGTCCCGGAATATGATCGAATATGGACATAGCTATGGTACGATCAGGTAGAGCTTTGGAAGAATTCTACATCTACATTACTGATTTCCAATGCTCACAGAAGTTTGAAGAAAACTATGCAGCCTCCGGTCATGTGAAATCGGTTCCGTTGAACTCTCAGAAACTCGATTTTGACTAAACTATACAAATATTTGTTTGAGTTATTCCGCTCATTTTCATAATACACGTATCGACTGAATTCTCACACTCAGAATGTCACTGCTGAGAAGAACACAGCTGACATGTGACAAGGCTCCGAAGAAGAGACTGCTCGCCATTAAATATTTGTTATTATCTTTTTGTGTTTTGGAACGGCAACTTTTTTTATATTTTTGATATGTAACATCAAGTTTGCTGATATGTAACAACTAGTTTGGACTATTCAATTTCTAAAATAATTAGTATAATTTTACGTAACGTTACATAATAGGAAGAAGCTGGTACAATATTGCAGCACTACTAATTTTATTTTTGTATAGACAGTAAATATAATGTGAATTATTGGCGTATAGTGAATAGAAAATAAGTGAAATTTCACGAAGGATGTTAGACATTTCATATGATATGTGCTTAAAGTCATTTTGACAGATTTTTATGACAAATAGTGTAGTACTGTAAGTAACATACAAATTCCAATGTAAATAAAATTTACGAAACCATCAAAGGCACTATAAAAAAAGTCTGTGCTATGCTGTTGCTCTACTGCATTTTGTAATTTTTAATTATTCAAAACATCCTGTATATTTTCGAATTTCATCAGGAAGCTGTCATGAATAATGGTGTTGATGTATATGTGCAGGGTAGCTGCAGAGCAAGCCATGGGGACCATGGTCTCCCTGGGAAATATACACGATAAACATTATTTTTAAACATCATAAATGTACTTCGAAACAATAATATTTGTACATGTATTAAATATTATTTATAATTAATATATTCTCAAGCTGTATTTTAAAAACGTCCAAACTCTATTCTAAACATGAAAAGTAGAACTCTGGAGAGATATATAAAAAAGTTTATATTTTTGATTTTTAAACGGGTTGTAATTAGAATATAAAAAATTGAAAGTAATATTTAAATAAAATCATGATCTCAACTGAAAAATATCCTCTACCTTTTCATCCTCCCTCTCAAGAATTTTCTAAAGCCGCCTTCCGTATTTTTGTGCATGGGTGTGTGTTGCGTGTGCAGGTGCCTGCGGCCGCTGCGTGGGGGGCGGGGCCGGCTACCACCACCACCACCGCCGGCAGTTACGCCAGCGCCCACTTCCTCCGCCGCGCCGCGCCGCGCCGCTTCGCTGTAAGTGCATCCCCGCCCCCGCACATTTTCCCTCTCGCTGTGGACTCTTCTGGCTGGTTCCATTGCGATTTGGATTCTCCGCAATTATAAATGCAATCGTACGCTCTGTCCTTGCGTATTGGCGACTTTTCATTATTATTATTATTATTATTATTATTATTATTATTATTATTATTATTACTATTATTACTATTATTACTATTATTACTATTATTACAGTATACCTTGTTCAATGTGGAACGTATATAATGCGGAAATGTCTAATGTGAACATGAATCGCGGTCCAGCCAAACATACATTCTCAAATATCACATTGCCTTATGCGGAATCTTGTCTAATTCAGAAAAAAATATTGGTGTTTTGAGATTCCGCATGGGGCAAGTTTTACTGTATTATTATTTGATTACTGCCCACGGTTCGGTCTTTTTGGTCTTTCTTCGATGCCTCCGCCTCGGCACCATTGTGTAGGTGACATACCTATAATATATTTTCATTTAAAATTGTATAATTTGATGTTTTTAAATAACGTTCTTTTTAACCATAATTTTGAAGATTTGTTTACTGTAGATTTTATATTAATTTTTGAAGTTATTTGAACAGTGAAGTGTGCAACTTCCTTAATTGAAATAAATTTCTATTATTACTTCTATTTGGTACTCTCAAATTTCGTGAGTAATAAGTAAGTTTTAGATAATTCTGTGCAAAAATCTAGGAAACTATTCATCTAGATAGGCAAAACATAATTTATCTATTATTTAAATTGTATTGTACATAAAGAGATTTGTTAACTAATGCCCTTAAATTGTTGCACTAATGACGAATATAATTTTTAAACATCAAAGTCATACTCGTAATGTGAAACCATTTTTTTATTGTTAATTTTAAAAACTAATGTAAATTTTTATATTCAACTGAAGTAGGAGGGGGTGACACCAACTTCAACTACGTCACTAAGACTTTCTATAGTAAAATATATAATATTGGATTCGTGAATAATGTTTTATGCCTTCGTGTTTATTCAAAAACTAGGTCTTGCTCAAGGTGTCTTAATCACATTTAGCTGCCAAGAATACCATATTCATTCTACAAATTAACTGGCGTCTTCCATTTCTATGTGCAGTCCCCTTCGGAATTTCCCAGCACGCAACGTTGAATTGGACGTTTTTTAAGGTATAGTTGATTGTATGTTGTGAGCTAAAACAGAACCTGAGGGAAATCCGCAGCGTTTCCTACTGTTCCATCTCGCTGCTAAGAGTAAAGTATCATACGTCCTAGCATTGAACTCTGCTGATGATTCACGCGGAAGGAAAAGCTATTTGATACTAGAGTCCGAACCACTTATTGTCTCTCCATGTCTTCCGGCCAAAATGTCTTTTAATTTCACGTGTTTGTAGCTTCAGAACATTTTTACGCGAGTTCTTCGTAAGGTAAGAAGAATACCTGCACACACTTTTTAAGTGCATTCATTCAAAAACCGAAACAAACATTTTCGTTTTTTCTTAATATAGTTAACTCAGCGAATTAACAACACTTAATTTTTGTGCAAAATATTAATATTTGGATTTTTTCCTGATGACCCACACAGTGGCTCTTCGATAACTAACACCTCTAAAGCTGTGTGTGTGTAATTGCGTATCTTTCATATGCATTCTATTTTTATTAGATTTGCCGAAAGTAATCATGTACCAACTTAAGTTTCTCGCATTTCAAACAATACATTCTTACTGTAATATACAACTCATATTAGAAATGATATTTCGCTTCTTTGAAATTTATGAATATCGAGTAAAGGGGGCGAATATTTTGGGGTCTTCTAGCGGTCGCTTGTGATTTGCAGAGGACGTAAGGACGTGAGGCTTCGCCATGGACTTCGATGAGATCCTGGAAGAGCTTGGAGAATTCGGTCGCTACCAGATCACCAACTACCTCCTCATCTGCCTGCCTGTCTTCTTCGCTGCTGCCAACAGCCTCAGTTATGTGTTCACTGCCGCTGTGCCTCGATACAGGTAACCGACCGTCGATTTTTTTTTCTTTCAACGAGTTAGGAAGTTGATTTGATTTTTTTTCAAGTAGTAGTAAAACGAATATGTGACGAATAGGGACGAAGTATAATCTGCGAACGTTTTCTTGAGCCCCAGAATCCCTACGTCAACTTTCAACCATAAATATATGAATGGTGAATAAAAAAAGTACTAACAAAGCGAGTTTAACAACATTTTAAAAGCCAGATATTTTCACTCTCTAATTGCAGAAAACGTATGTTCAAGTACACAAAATACAGATTTGTCAATTTAATTTTGTTAACTAAATAGAAATCCACATCCTTGAGTCTACTCCTACCACAATTTGCATAAGGAGAGCTCAACAAAACGTGCGCACAGTGAAGATATATTTATGTCCCGAAGCAAAACAAAGGGCTATCTTAGCATTTGCTCTGTGGATCAGAGAATCTGTACGAAAAACCTGATCGAGTTGGGGTGGTAAGTAATGGGATTTTTACATCTTCGATATCTTCAGTACATGTGGTTTAAATGTGGTGGCTTGAGATGTGGTAGACAAACGTCGAGTGTCTACCTTGTTTCTGTCACCGTGTTGTGTGAATGTCTGAAATTTAATTCTGAGACTGTTCTGAATTCTGACTATTCCAACTTTTCTCTGTGCTAGAGTCAACATATTAGTGCTTGGTATTATCAAAGAGAGGGAGAGAGCGAGAGCACTTGTTACATCGATAATTATGCTTTCAACATAGTGCAATTCTCAAGAAATTACTTCAAGTTTCAAGAATAGCGTTAGTTCTGGAGAGATAGTTTATAAATATTCAATTTTTTGTCCGAAAATCCTAGTAGCTCAATTGTTTATATTTTCTACAGTTCAAGCTTTCGCATCAGGGTCAAGAAAATGATTGAACTTTTCTTTTATTAATAAAGTTTTTCTTCAATTTCCTTTGGTCATCCGCAGAGCCTCGTCGCTGTCAATTCATTAACTCTATTATGAAGGCGCGTATCTCGAAGTCATTGGCTGAATATAACAAGACCTTCATCCATTCAAGACTAGGAATATTTTGATGAATATTGTTGTCATTTTTTGACATTTAAATTTAGCAATCTCTTTTTTCTTGTGTATATTTGGATAATTAACTCAATTAATGGAATAGAAAATGAATTGGACATTTTTCTAATGGTTTAAATGTCTTTTATGCTGTTTTTCCTGCTTGGAGCCAGACTCAATCTCTGCGGGATTCCAAATGGAAAATAACTTCTGCACTCAACTTCTGCACTCTGGTTCCTCATTCACTTTGTGCCGCATACGCAACAGGTTTTCCAGATATTGTAATAGTAATTTTTCTCAATTTGAAAGCTTATAAAATTTAACTTGTATGCATACTCCTATACTCTGGCTACACAATATTTGCAAATCCCTTGATGTGGGTGTAACTCCCGTGCTCTTTTCAACGAATGTATTCGTAATACTTGGATACGAGGGCCAAGAGCTGGGTGCACAGGAAGGTGAGGTATGCAGAGCAGTACGCCCTTTGGGAATGCTTTTCCGCGTTATTTACTCTGGAGCTGAGGAATGTGCGGGATCGAAACTTCTGCAGACGCCTCGCAGCCTCGAGTTCGCTAGACGCTGCACTCTCTTAGGAACAGTCACGCTGCGTGGTGTCGGGTGTCATCGGCCGCGATTGCCCCGCCCTCTGATTCAGCGGCCAGACGAGACGGCCGGAGGCGTCTGGCAACGCAGTGGGCGTTGAGTCGTGGAAAAAAATATTAAAGGAGTGTATGCAGAGTGCGATGAGTGAACAATCTTATAACGAAGACGTTTTGGTACGTATGGAGGAGAATGAGATAGAGTGATGTGACAACCTACAGCTACATTTGTAACTGATCAACATACTTGTTGTGGTTTTAACAATGTCTGCGAAGGGATTTAATGAAGGCGCCAGAATTAACAAAGGATTCAGGGGCGAAGAAATGTAGATATAAATGTTTGCTATGTACCAGAACTGTAACTTGCCTGACAAAATGTTATTGATATCACAATTGTAAGTACTTTAAATCAGCACAAAAGCAATTAGCACCTAGCTGATTTCATTTTTACTGACGAGACTCAATTGTATCTTCAAGAAAAACCTGGGAGTTCTTGTGGTCGTGTCTCGACAGAAAGTGTATTTCGATGCCCAACGTTGCTTTAGTCTCGAATATTGAAACAAGCGCCGAACTAACAGGTTAAACTATTAATATTTTCCGTCTTATATATATATACCCACATACGTATAACGTATACATATTTGCCCAACAACCCTGCCATAGTGGCAAGTAGAATGAATTAAAAAGTAGTATTATTTACATGAAAAGATTTTGGTCTACAAATACTCTGAGAAGCTGCATAACACACTTAAAGTTTAGTTACATTATTCGACATGGTTGACGCCGCTCAACCGCTTAGTATTTCCCACAACTTTACACTTATTGGCTTGACTTTCGGTTACTAGCACTGCCTTAACCAACAGCGCGGACAGTCGATGCAAACTGTTGGTGACAGTTGTAAGGAGATTGACTGCTGTTTTATATCGTTTTCGTGTTTCCTTCTAGCAGTTCCAATGGGTTGTTCCGGTCGCGCTGCCGCTCCACGCGCCATTTGCCCCCTCCTTGTTTTTAGGGCCAGCCAGAGAACTCCTATTCCGAATGTGTCTCACATACGCGACGAATGGATTAGGCACCCCAACATCTTTTCAAAGGGCAAACTTGAGATTTTGTTTTGTGAACTTTTTTTTCAGGTTACCTGATATTTATAGAGGTAATTACTAGATTTTTGTTTTACCAGATTGTATACCTTTTCGGGTCATGTTTGGTTTTCAAAACTGTCGTTAGTTTTGTGAGCTGCTAGTGACGCTCATCGTAGAAATGCGATCTCGCAGTCGCCCTCTCCTGCAGTCCGTGCTTATCGGGCTGTTGAGGGAAAATCTCAGTGTCGTTTGGCGAGGGGATAGCAGCTGTACC